ACCGCCCCCCATGCAGGAGCTTGCAGAGGGTCTCTTTAAAGTGGCAGCTGCTCTGCAAAAGTGAAACCAGGCACAAGAAGTATCCTCCCTCTCTCTAAGAGTGCTGGCTGTTGGGGCCACCTCCAGGGGCCCTGGGGCTGCTAGGAATTCTGATGGATATTCTCCGAGGACCCTTCACTGCTTTCGTTGGGGGGCGTCTCGGAACTCTCCTCCAGCTCGTCATCTGCCCCCTCCTCCTGGATGGTGAGGTGCACGTCCGGGGAGGAGGACTCAGAGCTCACGCTGTCTCCTTCCATGGAGCAGAGGGTGCAGGACAGGGCAGGCGCCACGCTCTCCTGCAGCATGTTGAACATCATAGGCACCTGCACCGACCTCAGGCCCGACACCGTGGGCAGCGGCTTCATGGCCTCTCCCCAGAGCCTCTCCTCGTCTTTGTACAGCAGCAGGAGGCTGGACTTCTTCTCCCGCCTCTTGGATTTCATGTAGCCCAGCATGATTCCAATCAAGAAAACGCCGTAGAAGGACATGACAACCAGGATGTAAAAGTACTCGTTCCCGTTGCCGCTGCGGCTGCCGGGCACCTGGGACTCCAGGGGGCTGCCGGGGGCTGCGGTGCTGGGCTGGGTGCTGTTCAGAGGCTCCATCTTCAGCATTGAAGCACTGCTCACACAGCCAGAGTCTGGGGAGAAACCTGCAGGTTAGAACTGTCCCGAGGGTCTGCAGGACAGGGCAGGAGGGAGGCGGGGGAGCACCAGGTCTGTGGAGTTGCACTTTCAAAAAAGCTCATAACTGAGTGGAGAAAGAGTGGTAAGAGGGGCCTGCAAACAGTTACCGGGGGGTAAGCAAGCTGTGAGGGGCTGGAGTGCATGGGGGAGCTGCAGAGGGACGGGGGCAGGTGATACCTTTCTTAATGCATACATGTCCATCATACTTGCATTTTATAAAGTGAGCCTACTAAAAAGCACTGCTTTTATCATTTTAAAAACAAAAGGAAAAAGAATCAATGTAAGACGAAGGAGCGTAGAGAAAATAAATACCATTTTAATCGCTATGAAACTTTTTAACTTACGGAGCAGAAAAAAGATAGTTTACATTTTGCTTCTCAAAGTGAAAGCTATTTTTAATTCAAAACACAGTTTCCCTGGAATGAAGAAAGGGAAGGCAAGCTTCGTCTACTAACTGCTAAGAATATTCTTCTTTCAAATGTTTCAGAAGCAAAGCGGCATTGCTAACTTACCAAAGGCTGGTGAATTTGCCCCCCAAGTCCTGAGTTCCTGAACGGCTGGTCTAAGAGCGCTCTCCCTGGGCTCCGCGTTCTGACAATTCTGGGGCGGTTGGGATATATAGTCAAGACTTGCATCGTCACGTGTTCTGGGAGGAAAATTTACAACAGAGGTTGGTCGTGGCAGTGAGCAGTGCACTCAAAGCACTGCAGTTCAAATCACTGAGCTTTGCAGCTGTGAAAAGACAGACAGGGAAGCGGGAAGGACTCCTCTCACAGCCCAACGCCCAGCCAGAGTTTTCAGGGAGCCGTGAAAATGAGTGAAAAAGAGAGAAAAGAATGCGCTCAATGGAAACTGTCAGCCCCGAGTCTTCTGTCATTGAATATCAGTTCACATTTCCTCACCCTCGTGGGGAATAACCACGTTGCCCACAGGCTTGCAGAGACGGTCATATACCACAATCTGGATATAAGACAGTTGGAAGCAAGTTCAGGATTTACTGTCAAGAAACTGGGGCTTAAGTTTCAGTTGTTCCATTAACTATGCAATAAACAAATCCTCAGCGAACCTTTCTGCACCTCAGATTCCTGATCTGTAAAATTGTTGGGCGTGGGGGCCTGCAACACATAGGGTCATGTGAACGCTCTGACTTTTGAGTCCCTGTCAGCTTAATCATGCTAAGACTTAAGGTGGGCTGGTGCAGTTTAGCCCTTTAAAAACACAGGGAGATTCTACTGTCTTCTGTATCAAGCTCATAAATCTATTTTTTTTTAATTAAAAATATGTATCTTCCAGATTCTTTTCAATAATCTGTGTGAAGTGGAAACAGGTTACAGTGCAAGACCCCAGGGGCAGGCTTTGCTCCAGTTCTGCGGCGCTTAGCTCGGCCCCCGCAGCATCACACACAGACCAGTCACACACCTCTTCACTGCCTTTGGCAGGTCAGGGGAAGAGCAGGGATCTTCCTGGCGAGCAACTGAGCAGAGTTCTAGCTTTTCAAACCTGTGTTAAAAATGGTTACTGGAAAAGGAATTGAAGCCTTTGATGTCAGTCCATTTAACTGTAAAGCATCCCCAGGATGCTTACTCTTAGGGGGCCTTCATTTCAAGTTGAAGTAAACTGAGAAGGCTTCTCTATTCCCCATTTTCTGTGGCCTATGAATTGCAGCCAGACTACCTTGGGGATTCAACTCTAGAGAAAACCTTTCTCATGGTTCTGCTGTTGTCAAATTGAAGCTCGTGGGAAGCACAGCGACATCCCTCCACCCCAACTGGAACACACACAGCCCAAGCGCTGGAACTTTCAATGCTGCTACGTGAACCCCCCTGGGTTAGCATCTGGCCCTAATCCTATTAGGACACCTGTGGAAAGAACAAGATGATCGGCCCATGCTGCTGTTTTCCCCACTGGTCTTCGCATCCTATGGCTTGAGCTGTGCTCACTCTAAGGCCCCACCTGACTCTGAGGTATCAACCACTGACCATCCCAACCCCAGGGTCATCCATACACTAGAACTTACTCATCTCAATAAAGACATCCTCACATTATATCAATACTTTAAAACCTCCACGGTTGCCTTGGCCAACCTGTATTCATCATAAGAACCTGAAAACTTCCAACCTCAGTTATGCCAACAGTGGTTTGTCAGGGACACTGGAAAAAGAGAAATCCGTGAGAGTGATGTCTATTGATCACTGATCACTGTGCTGTTGACCATGTACCTTGCAGGACATGAGATTAGTCATCTCCCATTGATGGTCAAACACTTGCAAGCTGGAAGCTTGGAGGACGCAGAGAAGAGGCATGCAAAGGGGTTGCCAGATTTAAGGAGCAAGGAAGAAAGTACCAAGTCTGATGCCACAAAGAGCCTCGTGCTGAAGTTTCAAACAAGATAAATTTTCAAAACCAAGTAAACTGTCCCAGGATGGTAAAACCAAGAACAGACATGGATAAATCTAGAATGAAATCCAAAGGACAAGGCAATTCAGAGACATAGGAAGAACAAAATCCAATGTAGGCATAAGAGAGGGAATAGCCCAAATGAAACTCTGTCCCATGCCTGCTGGATATCCCCACTTCCTCTGGGACTCCACACTCACTCCATGTACAGGTGCTTGCCCTACAGTTAAATGAAATGAGGCAAATAAACTGCCCAGTGCTGTGTCTGGCAGAATGTGTGGGCTCAGCCTGTGCTTTCGCTGTCATGTTGAGAGTGCCTCTTGCTAAAAGGGCTGTACGTTGCTTCCTGATGGGTGTATTCCTGTCTCCAGATTTTTTATTATTGCTTTTTTTTCTCCCACCAAGAATGGAACTTAAGATATGAGGCTTGCAAACTCATATCACATAGCCCAACCCCTCCAGCTCTCGCTCACTACAGTGTCATAAGAACTACAGCAGTAAGCAGTGGCATAAATAGGTAGGAAAGAAAGGTGTCTAGAAAGTACACTCTATCAGGGAGAGGATGGAGGCCACAACAATTATTCATTACATTTGCTGGGTTCCCTATAGCTCAGAGAAGACAAGTAGTGATTCTATAGCATTTTACTACGCTGATGGGCAGTGACTGTAATGGGGTATATGGTGGGGACTTGATAATAGGGGGAGTCTAGTAATTATAATGTTGTTCATGTAATTGTACATTATCAAAAAAAAAATTTTTTTAATTGTGGTAGCTTACTGCTAAATTCTCCCCCAGAGAGGTGGCCCCAACTCACACTCCATCTGGCACGGCTTGGGAGTATTCTGAACCCTGAGTACTGTCCTTCTATTCCTTACCCATATGATAGGTAGACATCAACGTATCACACTGTTGGTAGGAATTTATGTTTATTACCATTTCTCTTTCTTCTGGTTTAAGAAGCACCTGCTTATGCCCTTAGCTCATTTTTTTCCCCTCTGGATGGGCAACTTATTTTTCTTAGTAATTTATGCAGATATATGGCTATATGCTTCTTAATTGTCAAATGAGTTGCAAATATGCTTTCTGATTTGTTGTATATTCTGTAATTGTATTTATATTGTGTTTTGGAGAGTTTAAAATCATCTAAATAATTTTTATTAGCCAAAAAAATTTTTTTGCTCTGTTCCAGTTTCTGTAGAGACAATTTTAGAGAAATAAATCCATTTTACAAATATTGTCTCTTACTGTGAGGCTTGCATTTCCATTTCCTTAACAGTGTTTTTTGAAGAGCAAGTGTTTCTTAATACTGATGAAGTCCCACTTGTCAAAACTTTTTATGGTTTCTGCTTTTTGTATACTAGAAAATTTTTGTTCAATCCAAGGTCACAAAAATTTTCTATTTTTTCACCTGTAAGTTTTATAGCTTCAGCTCTTACGTTTAGATCTATGATCCATTTCAAGTCAATTTTTGTATATGATGGAAGGTATGGGTCAAGGTTTGTTTTCTTTTTGCATATGGACATCCAATTACTCCAGCATCATTTGTTGAAAAGACTATCATGTGTATAGGTCTATTTTTGTTGTTATCATTAATCTACAGATACATGAAGAACATTATGTTTACTAGGGTCCCCCCTTCACCAAGTACCCCCCACAAACCCCATTACAGTCACTGTCCATCAGCATAAGATGTAGAATCACTACTTGTCTTCTCTGTGTTGCACAGCCCTCCCCATGCCCCCCATATTATACATGCTAATCATAATACCCCTTTTCTTTTTCCCCGCCTTTATCCCTCCCTTCCCTCCCATCCTCCCCAGTCCCTTTCCCTTTGGTAACTGTTAGTCCATTCTTGGGTTCTGTGATTCTACTGCTGTTTTGTTCCTTCAGTTTTTCTTTGTTCTTATACTCCGCACATGAGTGAAATCATTTGGTATTTGTCTTCCTCTGCCTGGCTTATTTCACTGAGCATAATACCCTCTAGCTCCATCCATGTTGTTGCAAATGGTAGGATTTGTTTTCTTCTTATGGCTGAATAATATTCCATTGTGTATATGTACCACATCTTCTTTATCCATTCATCTACTGATGGACATTTAGGTTGCTTCCATATCTTGGCTAT